AACAAATATTAAGTATATTAAATTAAGTAAAGTAAACTTTATATTAAATCAATAAAATGCCTAGATCCTCTATAAATACATGAAGCGCTTTTGCCTTCTTGACACCATTAGGCATTTTATCAAGGTCAGCGTTCAACTCGGTGAATATGTGCTGTACTAAATCGTGAATCTAAATTAAACAAATAGGATAAATTAAAAATAAAACAATTTACAAAATAAACTGCAAAATAAAATAAAACACTTGAGATAAATAAACAAATAAAGTTACCTGTATATGTAGGGAACCCCACAAAGTGTCCTGACGTTTAGTCTTAATATAATTGGACGCCCATAGGACCGTACGCAAAATAGTCTTTTGTAACTTGGTCAATTTATCTCGCAGCACTTGCTCACTGTCAGTTACCTTAAGCATATTTTTGCGCTTCACATCCAACTTGGCGCCCATGTACCTGTACTCTTCAAACGATGAACCTATGTAATACTCGACATTGTGTTTGAACATGGTGATATTTGGTGGCGGCTCGTAGGCATCCATTACGGCATACATGACAGGCATATACTGTTGGGCTCTATTGATTAGCCGCTGATAGAACTCGTCGATTATGTCCAGACCGTGAAAGTGCCGGTATTTCATGCCCTGTAGTTTCATCGAGGCTATTATTACGTCCAGATTGGCCATGGTCAATTCGCGCATTTGTGCCTTGCTACATTTGTCGTACTCGGCTTCGGTTTTGTATCGGAAATCTAGTTTGTCCGTTGTTGGGCTACATGATACTTTTTTGTATAAATAATTTATAATAATTATAATTATTATTAAAATGAACTTGATATTATTTAATAAATAACTCACCAATAGAAACTAATGCACAGATATAAATTAAATTCATTCTACTGTGTTATATTATTACTTTGTAAAATGTGATTTTATGTGATCATTGATCACTGATCAAATAGCTAATGCTATTTATATAGTACAGATTTCAAACATTGATCAATTTTTCCTAGTATCTAGAAATAATAAAAAGTTATTTATCACACTACAAATCCACAATGTTCACAATAATGCTTAAATAATAATGAATTAACACTGAAATTCTATAAAAAGTAACAATTATATTTATCTATCATACTAACACATGATAGATAACAATGGTATATAATGCACCATAATGATTGATTTGTTGATAATCCTTATTGATTAAAAATAAATAAATGTTGACAATCATTAATTGTATACTTTATGTTCGTTCATAAAAATTGAAGTAGATTATTTTGACATAGGTATTAACTTTATGAAAATAATTCAGTGTATTTGGGATCACAATTGGGTATATACTGTATATGATTTTTGAGGTTAGCAATCAAAGTGATAATTAATGTACTAGTTTACTTAATGCTTATTTACCATTATCTATGGCATTCATTGAGTGACAATAAGGAGTGTAAAATACAATACAGATATATTAATTATCAAAATATCATTATAGCAAGCTCAATCAATTCAATGCAGTTCATTATGAGGGTATAATGTACTTACTACACTATGTACATACTTTATATTTATATATCAAACTATAATAATCAATATTCTGGCGCTTCTGTTGTAGATAAATTAGTTTATTATAAAGTCAAGTGATTATTTATAAGTACATTGTGTATCGAATACCTTAATTACCTAATTCAATAACGATTATTTTATTACTGTATTAAGGTATCAATAACTAAACCATAAATTAAGGTAATAAATAAACAAATTATTTATTAATATTATTGTCAATATAAATAACAGATTATACATTTAAATAATTAAAAAGTGTGTTATCGTAAAAACAATGACCAATGATTTAATAAATGATAGTAATGTTAATAATGTTACAAATTATAATAATGACACCGATCACATGGACAAAATGACCAGTGTACATTCTGATCATGATGAGTACAAAATTAACTGTAATAGTCAAATTAATGGCCAAAATGATCTCGATGTTGCTAACATAAATAGCCAACATGCAACTAAATTAACCTTGTGGGAAAAATTTAAACAATTATTCACGACTCAATTCAACAGGAAAGAATTGTTTTTAATCTCCATATTAAGCATTGATAGCTATTTGTTTGGTGCCGTGTTTTCTATACCTGGCGCATTTTTTCCAACCGAGGTAAGTCTTGTTAAATTTTACATTGTATGTTTAATTGTAATTTATATTGTTGTAATAGTTTTATATTATTTAATAATGTAGGCTAAACGTAGAGATGTGAGCGAAACGTGGGTTGGATTAATTACCGGCCTAAATGAGTTTGTTGATATACCAAGCATGTTTTTTGCTAGTTTTCTAGTATGAATATTTTTATAAATAATTTACCCGGTTCAGATAAACTAATTATACTTATTATTATTTATTATTACAAAGTTATCTAGACTAAAAACAAAGACAGTACTCATTATATGCATGATATTTGTTGGTACATTAAATATTGCATTTGGGTAAATATGGTTAAATAAATTTATTTAATAGATAACTAAAATTGTAATTACTTTACAGCTTATTACAATGGTGCTATACCCCATCAATATTTATTTCAACTGGTATAATTATGCGCATGTTAAACGGCGTGGGAATGTGTACGTGGTTTATAGCGTGCTATAATGTCGTATTTCTGATGTTCCCTGACCATTTATCTAGGATTTATGTATGTAATACATGTGAACATTATAATCAATTAGATTTAGTAATTTATGTAAAACAAATAAAATTCATTTTTACTTTTACAGGCAATTATCGAGATGTTATATGCAGTTGGTATGATCTCTGGGTCAGGTTTGGGTGGATTTTTATATCAGGTATGCTAAATATACCGTATATAAAATATAACTTTATATTGCAATCATAATTAAAATACTTTAATTATATTAGCTTGGTGATATGGGAAATTTAGGCTTCTGTTTGCCATTCTTTTTTCTCGGTGTTTCATTACATATCATAGCAATCGTTGCCATCAAATATATACGAGCTGAAAGTATTTATAATTAATCAATCTTGTTATATTTTTAAAAGTAATGTTGCAACTTGTTTATAGAGCACCAGGCAGACACTGGTAAAGCTAATATATGGGACTTATTATCAAAGTTTAGTATCATGTTGAACGTGGTGATCAACTTTAATGCCGGCGCTCTCATTGGGTTTAACATTAGTACATTGGATGTGCATTTGGAAAATGTAAGTATTTTTGCCATAGCAATAAACAAGAACATGTTAATTGTATTTCTCATAGCTATAAAATAAAAAACTTAAATTGTTTTTTACAGTAATAAAAAAGAAATTTTAATAGTTTTCATAATTTTTAAGACTTATTTGACTTATTAGTCTTATTAGTCAAAATAAACATACTATATAATATTATAACATTTATTGTAGATTGCCGACTTATCACCTTCAGTAAAAGGTACAATCTTTCTCATATCAGGCATTGTATACATCATAAGTAACCAGTTTTGGGCCAATTTGGCCGACCGTATGGCCGACTGTCACGGACTGAGTCTATTGGGATGTGTGTCTAGTTTGGTGTGCTTTACATTTGTCGGTCCCATACCTTTCCTACCATTTAAACCGTAATGTTCTTCAAAATATTTTTATCATGCACTAAATATAATTGAATTAACATAACTCTTACACTATTACAAACTAGTCAATTATGGATCGTAATAGTGACCCAGGTGTTTCTTGGACTAGGCGTTGCACCGCTCCTTGTGGGCAGTTTTGTTCAAGGATTTCGGGAAACATTGTAACTGCGAATGAATATTAATTTACATATTCAAATTGTCATGTTGATTTAATTTAAATTTACCACGTTTACTTTGCAATAGTACAATACATGGGTTTCCAGAAAATGAATCTATTATTAATTACGTATCCGGCATGTTTGTGTCGGCTGAAGCATTAGGGTATGTTTCAATGTTTAACAATTGTGTTTATTAAATAAAAGTTAAATAATAAATATTAAAAATTTAATTCACATAAGGAGTGCCCTTGGTCCAATCATTGGTGGTTATATTCTGGATCATTACGGGTATGGCTGGTCAACAGTGCCTGTGTTTGCACTTCAAATAATACTTGTAATTAAAACTGTTTATTATTTTTAAGATTTAAAAATAGCTAGTCTAAAAAAGTTGATTTATTTTTTATTAATTATTGTATTGTTTTTATAGATTGCCATAACATTAACATTGATTGTTAAAAGAATATACTCACCAATTGCTATGGTACAAAAGAGTACGGGGTAATAAAAATTGTTAATAAATTAAAGTAAATAAAAATAAAAATGTTTTTAATTTTATTTTATAACATAATAAAAAAAATGTGTAAAAAAATATTAAAATTGTAATGATTTGATAACATGTGACATTAATAATAATATTTGTTTTTTAATAAGCTTAATACAAATTAATTGCATTTATTGATGCAGAAATAATAGATTTAGCATATCTTATGATTAACACTACCGTACTTATAGTATGAATTTTAATTGGAAATTTTCATATAATGCAAAAATAATAAATTTTTTAAAACTATAAGTTACGGTGTATTGCAAAACACCAATAATTGTTTGCTTATAACTTAAATAAACTGTTCATCTATTATAAGCTATAATTTTGAGCAAATATTTAATGTGGCAATAAATGGCAATATAAAACATAGCACATTTTGAGCATTTTATAAATATCACAACAAAACGTAAAATTATTTAGGTAAAAAACCGAGAGGCACCTGACTAGGTATTGAATACTAGATACTTTATATTCACCTATTGATTAACAAGTAAGTTTGTGACGTTGAAACATTATTGCTAAATAATTTTCACTCACTAGATAAAATGTCCACGTCCATACAAGCAATGTTCAATGTAAGTTTTATTTTTTAACATTATTTAATATGTTTTAATTATTAATATTAAACATATAATAATAATAATTGCGTAAAACAAGTCAATGAGTATTATAATGACACAGTTTTTAAAAATAAACTATTTACTTGTTATGTTTTTAATTCATTTTATAAATATACAGTATATAGACAGTTTTTCTTAATATATAAATAAGTTATAAATTTTATTATATTAAGTTTTAATTAAAGTTTACTAATTTTATTAGCTGGTTAACAAAATCAAAATCTTAACCACCGCGATGGATACGGCACTCAGCCCTAAATATCCGATACCAAAAATCATGGTAACAATATTCCCATATGAATGCAATCCATTACACAACAAACAACCAATAACCGCAAGTGCTGAGCTGTGGTCATACGAGTCGAGTCTATTAACAGCGGCCCAGTATTTACGCATTGAGGGCTCGTCGTTATACACCGCGTATTTCTACCCATTTTGTACAGACAACCGTCGCTATGAGGTGTTAGTGAAAGCGTTGCACAACTTTTTCATACTCGACGACCACTTGGAGACCCCGTACGGCGATATGGATCGCCAGACAGCGAAAGTGGACACAATTTTAGGCCAGTTTTACAGTATGTTGAATAAACTAAGGGGTGACCAACACGTGCCGGCTCACCACTGGAAACCCTATATACTGGCCTCGTATGCCATCTATGATGACATAATCCATGGCATGAATGACATTCAAAAGCGCCGTTTGTTGCACTACTGGACATGTCTTACCGACTCAATGGTTGCCGAATGTAAACATTTAAATGATAATAAGCGATACACAAATATTGATGAATTCTACCAGGTGAGTTTGAGTTAAATTTTTAACAAAAATTCTTTATATTAATATATCTTTATATTAATATTACTAATGTGGTTTATAAAATAGTTTAACCCCCCACCCCTCATTCATTCTGGATAAATAAATTGTTTATTTGAAAATAGTATCACTGAGTTAGGACAAAGTACCATAATCAAATACCATTTAAAAAATCTTAATATAATTCTATACTTAAATGATAGGTGAGAGACGAATCTGGGTTTTATTCAATATACCAACTCATTGAATATGCTGAAAATCTCTACGTACCGGACGTCGAGTGGCGGAACCCGCAGTTACGGCGTTTGCGGCGACTGTTTTGCCGGCTGTCCGTCATTTGTAACGACGTCTACTCGTTTGAGAAGGAGTTGATGGACACCGGGGGCCGACTCGACCGTCTCAACAACGGTGTGGCCATTTTGGCCCGCATTCACGGCATACCTATCGACGAGTCGATGAATAAATTGTGCATGATGTTTGTGGAGTTGGAAAAAGAGGCCATGGTGCTCGCAAATAATATAATGGTTGCAGAATGGGCTAGTTCAGACACACGCGCTTTTGTTAATAATATGAAGTACGTTAACGGCGGACATTGGAAATTGTTGAGCTCGCTCGATCGGTATAATAAACTAACATGAATGATTTTTACATTAAACATAATGGTTGTCGGGTAAAAATGTAATGATATGCGTATAAAGGAGCTAAAAATAAAATTCTGACTATAGATTTATGGCTTGAATAAAATAATATTTACATTTTATTAAATATTTAACATGAATTAAATGTTAAATTGTTTGTTTGGGTTAGTAAAAATGTAAATAAACTAAAAATAAAAATATTAATAAAACACAATTAAAATTAAAGAACAATAATATTTGATTATTGACTTAATTTAACAAAGTCTTAATTTCAAAATTTTTAAATAATTATTAACAATCTTTATCATCCCAATTTTTTGGATAATTCTCGCCCAACCAATCATTGCAAGTCGGTAATAGACTTCATTTTAAATATATTATTTTAAATATTTTAATTGTGTTTTACTAACATTAAGTAAATAACTCACGATCGTATATTTAGTAAATGATAATACACTCATAAATGATAGTACAAACTAACTGCAAAAATATTGATTAAACAAAATTTAAACTCAAGCAGAATATTATTCATTTAATGTTTTAATAATAATTATTAACAATTTTTATCATCCCAATTGTTTGGATAATTCTCACGCAACCAATCATTGCCTTTGTGTTTGCATTCGGTGTCGGAGAGAATCTTATTGTCCTTATTATTTAATAGAAAGGGTCGGAAAATAGTTTCATTCAGGTATTGAAAGCCATTGTTATAGAGATACAACCATGTATCACCATTTATGCCCTCA